TTGCTGGTGAAAGAGACAAGCTTTCGAATTCCACAGAGCTCATCGTCAGACCTGAAGTTGGTCCAGTAAAAGATATGACCTCACCCACCTTGTCTCTCTGAAGAAGGCAGTCATCTGTCCAAGGTCCCAGGATGAGTCAATGACTCAGCCTAAATTAGGGCCTGATCCAAAGCCCATTGCTGTCAATGAGCATCTTTCCATTGGTTTTAATGTCCATTGGATCATGCCCTCCTTGTTTGTGTACTTGAACGTAACCACTGTATATTATGTCCTCCTTTAAAATGAAGCAAACACAGCTAATGTGACAGCTTTACACTGTCTGCACCACAAATATTGCTAGTTCTGTCAAAGGAGACATGCATGAAACAATCATTTCTTTTCAGAACATTTTCGTTGGACAACCTAATGGGGACATGCAGTGCTACTGTGGCTATGTTGGTCCCAGGACCTAATGGGGATGGCACTTGTGCATTATATGTAGGCTTGGACGGATATGATTTTTATCAGTAAATATTGGTAAATGTCAATTTCACCATACACACACAAACCGAGACAAATATTTCCGTCGATAATAATCTAAAGGTTGGTGGCATTCTTTCATCTGTGAGAGACGGTGGGAATTGCAGCCTATGATATGATCTGACAGACAGGCAAGGTAACAAAGACGCGGCTTGAGAACGTTTTTCGAGTTTGATTGAAGGATATTTACTTTGTTGAGTTGGCAAAGTGATGTTGACAATTTGGGCTTTAATGGTTATAAAGCTTTAACTTTTTGAATCTCAACGTTGACTGTCATTAAATAATTGTCTGATTCCCCTACATTGTCTGACCCCTCAATAATGGCCCACAACTGTGACAATGTAAATGAATAAAATTGAAAAAAAAAATGCTTAAAAGTAAACATTGATATTATCCATCTAAATTATTCAAAAAAACTGGAATTCTGCCAAGCCTAATTATAAAAAAACCTTTCAAATATGACTTTTTCAGGCATTGTATGGCTGGTCCGATAGTCTGAGAACACTTCCAGAACTGTCCTGTTATTGAGTACCTGACTTCAAGCCATGTCCTATCATCTGTTTTTCATGCAGAGCTCTCCAGCAATTAGTATTGGGAATCCTGTGGGCAGATCGGGGTCTGGCTATGGGCCTTTGGCCCTGGTCCATAACTAACGTCTTGCTTATTGTCTCTGCTCTGGGCAAGCCTATTCACGCTGCCCTCGTGATAGCGGTAGTGCCAGCGAAGATCAATCTGTGAGGTTGAAACTGTAGCGTACAGAGATTCTGCACACCCAGAGCGGAATTAATTTGCTCGTTGATTTGCCTTGGTACAACCATGTTAAAAAAAACAAAACAGAAAGAGTTGAAGGGGCCAGAAATGAAAATGCCTGAATCCTGCAGTCATGCTGATGGGGGCATCAACACGGTAATAAAATGTTGGAAGGGCAATGGGACACATCTGCAAACGTCCCCCGTGGTTGCCCTTCTGTAGTGGAGTCTGGGTGTGATTGCAACATGTGTGGACATACTTGTGTTAGCTTTAATCTGGCTAGCTCAGGGTACTGGTAGCAGTGAAGCCTAGTAGCATGGACTTGAGTGCATGCTAGCTGCCTGAGTAAGTACCCAGGGATCTGGGAGGGCTTGTGCAGCGTACACTGCTGTGGCTTCACTGCTATTGGTACCTGAGCTCGCTCGCTTAGAGCTAGCTTGCGTATGCCTACACGTGCTGCAATCACACCTCCGATTGCAGTGTAACCATACCCTGTGCTTGCGTTTTCTGTGCTTTCCCCGCATCCCATTGTCATCAGTGGAAGTGCCGTGCACGGAATGAGGGTGGGACACGCCCCAGAAATCTGCTGATATGGGGACGCGATCAGCTCCTCAGCTGGGATAACCTACTCCTAGCTAGTATAAACTGGTGTAGTCATTGATCCAAGCGCTCCATTGATTTCAAAGGAGCGATGCCAATTTGCAGCAGCTGAGGATCTGGCCCAAGAGGTCTAGAGCATGGACCCCAGCCATAGTACGTTACACAAACATGGGTTTTGTTTAAATTCCAGTCCCTGTCCCCCACCCCCGCCCGCCTCCTTTTTCTGTTCTCTGTGAATGAACAAGCATAAAAAGCCGACTCTACCCTTGTTGGTATTTTTCTCCCTCTCAGATCTGAGCACTAGGGGAACACAGATGCTGGGGAAATTCCATGTGAATGACTAAGTTGTGCCCACAGTTACTCCCTTGGAAACGTCCACGGACCAAGCCCAGCACAGGCATAAGCAGGCACCATTCCAGGATTAATTTGTCCCAGTATGGTGCCATCCACCAAACTGGAGTCAGAATCTGGCCCAAAGACTAGGATTTTCAGGTCTACTCCTGGAAATGGGGCGATTGCCTGGCACAGAATTGCAACTGCTTCCAGACAAAGCTTAAAGGTGGCATTCCCCTTTAATAACAAAGCAGGGCCGCCCAGAGGATTCAGGGGGCCCGGCGCTTCGGCGGCGGGTCCCGGGGCGGAAGGACCCCCCGCCGCGGGTCTTCAGGGCACTTTGGCGGCGGGTCCCAGAGCGGAAGGACCCCCCGCGGCCGAATTGCCGCCGAAGACCCGGAGCAGAAGAAGTCCCGGGGGCCCGGGCCCCACGAGAGTTTTCCGGGGCCCCCGGAGCGAGTGAAGGACCCCGCTCCAGGGGCCCCGAAAAACTCTCGTGGGGGCCCCTGTGGGGCCCGGGGCAAATTGCCCCACTTGCCCCCCCCTCTGGGCGGCCCTGTAACAAAGCCCAGTGATGCAGCATCCCATGCATGAACAGAAGCAATTTTTTTATATACAGCTGGAGCTCTCTTTGGGCTGGTCCACACTAACCCCCCACTTCGAACTAAGATACGCAACTTCAGCTACGTAAATAACGTAGCTGAAGTCGAAGTATCTTAGTTCGAACTTACCGCGGGTCCACACGTGGCAAGCAGGCTCCCCCGTCGACTCTGCGTACTCCTCTCGCGGAGCAGGAGTACCGGCGTCGACGGCAAGCACTTCCGGGATCGATCCCAGAAGATCGATTGCTTACCGCCGGACCTGGAGGTAAGTATAGAAGTACCCTTTTTCTCAGCCTCATGGAAAGCAAAACATTGAAGGACCATTATATCTTCCCCTCCATGTGCATGCATCATTCTTATTACTCCAAGCGGGCAGGAGGGTCACTCCCTTTAAAAAAAATTCTGCAGCATGCTGAATTAAACCCCAAAATGACATTATTGCTATTGTAAGCTATACAATAGGATCTGATTCTCATCTCACAGACATTGATGTAAAATCAGGAGTAACTCTATTCCAGTCAATCATGTTTCACCAGTGTAAAAACAGGGTAAGTGAGGGCTTGTCTACACTACCAGCCGAATCAACGGGCAGTGATCGATCCAGCGGGGGCCGATTTATCGTGTCTAGTATAGACACGATAAATCGACTGCCGATTGCTCTAGTGTCGACTCCAGTACTCCACCTCAACAAGAAGCACAAGGGGAATCGGGGGGGAGAGTGTCTCCTGTTGACACACCGCAGTGAAGACACCGTGGTAAGTAGATCTAAGTACGTCGACTTCAGCTACGTTATTCATGTAGCTGAAGTTGCGTAACTTAGATCGATCCCCCCCCCGTAGTGTAGACCAGCCCTGAGATTGGAATGATAACACCTTACAACAGTGATTATCGTAGCGCTTTAGCTTTACAGCAAGTGTTTCTTTGTACGGGGATGGTTGGGGTGAGTAGCGCGAAAGAGGAAGCATCTTGTGCCGGATCCCACGCAGAAGGTTCCTGGGTTCAACCTTCCACAGTCATCTTGGTCCACTCTGAACCAACCATGGGAGATGCAGACATCTAATGCTCAAATGGAAAATCAAGGATTCTGCACCATGCAAATGTGTTCCCCACGACAGGCCGTCAAACATAACAGCACCTACTGTCCAATTTATAAATATGAAGATGGCATCACTGCAATAAATTCGGCTACTCCTGAAGTAGCCATTTGGCTTGATCAACTTAAGGTGAGATTGTAGTTGCGGCTCTACACCAGCCATATGAAAGAATAAGGGTGAGGAAGCCGACACTGTCCTTGCTGTTGTTGCTCTGAGAGGGGAGCTAAGATGGAGAAGAATTGTTCTCTCTTGCCACAGAGATCAGGACAAGAGGCAATAGGTTCAAACTACAGCAGAACAGATTTAGATTAAATCTCAAGGAAAAAATAACGTCCTAACTGTAAGAACAGTAGGACAATGGAACAGACACCTAGGGAAATCGTGGCAGCTCCTTCACTCGAGGTTTTCAAGAAGAGGCAGAGATCCCGTCTTGGATAGTTGAGACACAACAAATCCTGCATCTTGGCTGAGGTTTAGACTAGCTGACCCTTGTGGTTTCTTCTAATCCTATGGTTCTGATTCTATGAGTCTAAGTAGAGGACTTCAGGGCTCCACAGCTGTCGATCTGGCACTCTGGAGCAGCATTCAATTCACCTCAAAAATGTAAAGAAACAGAAAATTCCCACTGGTGTTAATGGGCGCTATGTACACACATCAAAGGGGGCTCACACCCTGATATGTACAGGTCAAGGCTGCTGGAAAGCAGACAGAAGGTACGGTATCACGCTTACTGAAGATCTAATGATTTTCTTTGCGATACCTTCATCGGAGGATAAAAGCTGTTTGGAATAATGGAAGTAGGGATCAATTTCACAGCCCCACTGTTCCCCCTTTCCTATTTCAAACTCCTGCAGTGCCAGTTACTTGTGGATCTAAGCTTGTTTTGCCAAGACCAATTCTGCCTACTGCTATTCAGTTAATTCTTCACTCTGGTTAGTGGCTCCTGACAGAGGGTCTGAGTTCGAAGTCTCCCCTTCCCCGCAGTGTGCATTATTCAGGTACAAACTTATTATAAGCCAATATCCTCCCCACACATCCCCAAAGATTCCTGCTGTCAAAATATGCCAAGACTTATCGCAAGCTTAATCAGAGAGGGTTTCTTTTGTGGAAAACACAGCCATGCAACTGAATTGGCACCTGTACCTTGTTTATATACATTAGTCATGCAAGTCTATTATATCCTGTTTTAAAAAAAAACATAATGAGTATAGTGCAGAAAAGGGCGTTTACATTTTAGCTCCTCAGCAAGCTACATTTCGGAGGCATCGTCGCCGGTGGAGGTACTCTGAAAGCTTTTATTAACGAGGGCAATACAGATTGGCGAGTTGCAGATTCCACTCTGGTTCCGGAGCCGATGAGATGACGTTCTGGTCTTTCAGCTTCTTTGTAGCAATGTGAAACGCATCTGGATGCGCACAACTCTGCACCCTACTACAATGTGTCCCCTGCTTCTAGGTCCTTCCTCGTCTCACTGCTGTCCCTTACCGATCGGACTCTTGGCACATTAAAAGCATGGGTTTTTTCTCATTGGCTCATTTTAAAAAGTGCATCGTTTCTACCTGTTTCCGAGAAGCTGGCTCAGGTGAAGCCATTAATTATCCCCTGCCCCCTATTCACGAGCCTTTCAGAATCGCCTAGGCCCTCCCCAGGCAAGCTGGAGTTGTGCACAAGTTTAATAGTCAGTTTGTGAATTTCTCCATTGCCCAGGGACGAGCCTGTAGTTAAAGGTCTGGAAAGAAGGAAAAAAGATCTCTGTGTCCTGACTTGTCTCTTCTCGTTCAGGACGTCAGCGGCTTTTCCAGTTTCATGCCCTTTGTTTGACTCATGGGGAGCGTCTTTTTTAAAAACAACTCTTCAGCTTTAAACAAATTCCTGGCTGGTTTCTCTCTCTCAAGTGTTCCGTGCTGGGGCGTTTCTCCCCCTCAGACCAGAGAGAAGTCCGCTTGGAAGCTGGAGCACCTGCGAGTCTTAGGCGAGTACTTGGTGAGCATGGAGATCTGAGTGCTGAAGTTGGTACCATTGCTCCCAACGGACGGGTGGTGGTATTTCATGTCAGAGCCCAGGAACCTCTCCAGGTGCCACCTGCGCCACTTCCGCTTCAGCTCAGCTTGGACCTAAGTGGGGACAGAGAAGCACGTTAGTGGATGGAGCTCCTTTCTGCTGGTCTGGTTTGGTTTTACGAGCGAGCTGGCTTAATTAAATTCCTACTAGAAGCTGCTAACTGGCTCTGGCTCCAACGCCGTGGTGGAACTGGGAACAAGCGATCCCCCTTCCCTGGGAAGTCAAGGATGGTCCCTTGGAGAAGGAAATGGGTGTTGAGTTGGACAAGGAGAATCACCCTCTATTTTAAGGCCAGCAGGGACCAATTAATGAAGGCCACTGAACTGATATCAGCAGGTCAGAACTTTATAGCTAAGTGGCAGGCAGTGAAGAGATGCACCAGTTAGGGACGTAGCAGGCTTTGAGCCGGTTGGCTGATACAATGAAGGAGTTATAATGACCTCGACTGTTGACACATTTTTTTCCCTTTATGAGGGTAATTAGGAAACATCTTTCATTCACAAACTCCTTTCACCACAGAAATGTTTTGCGGAGCTGTGGCACTGTTTGGTGCGCAGAGGGCATTGGTCTTCCTGAGCCATGCAGCAGGATTCAAACCATCAACCAACACAGGCTACCACGTACAAGGAGCTACTGCACAGTCGCTTAGCTCTATGGGGCGGGGTTGCAGGCTATGGTATGAATTATAGGGTGCTTTCAGCACAACCAGGTCAGAAATCATAGCACAGACTATACGGGGAGGATCCAAAGGCTGCCTTGGAGATGGAGCAGACCTGATTCTGAACATCCCTGAGCTTATGGGGAGGCTGGGATACAAACCCAGGGCTGAATTACACAGCTGCCCCCATCTCTTCACGGCTCGCTTTATTGGCTTCAATGCTGCCCGAGTTAGCAGGGGGCTAAACGTTCTTCCCGGCTCACATCTGCTCAGCGGCTTTTGTGAAATGAATTTGGTGGGTTTCAGTCCAGTTTCCAATGGACACACGCTCCGTGGTACAAAACTCACTGCACTCACTGGCCTGCACGCTGCAGTGGGTCTGATCCTGCTGCTCCGAAGTCAAGGGCAAACGCCCGCTTGGCTTCAACAGGATCAGGGCCAAAGAAGCCAAAGAGTGAGTGGGCTGGAGACTGGCTGCACCTTCACCACCAAGTGTGCTCACTCCAGGTCAGGACTGAGGCCCACTGGCAGGGTGGTGGTGGGGGGGGGAAGACCCTCCGCTTGCTGCCTGTTCTGTGAATACAAGAGGGACTCGGCACTGTATAGCGCCCCCCTCAGCACCGTGAGTACTAAAATTCACATGCAAAGCCAGTATCTGATGACCACGGCGGCCCCAATGGGCTGATGTGAGGAATGGAACTTCTGCATCATTCACTTCATCCTAGTGACATGCACTGCCCAAGCAATACTGTGGATCTTACCTCCCCGTTGAGGAAACAGTATAGAACGGCCCCCACAAAGCCCTGGGAGAAGGAAGAGAGGACAGGCACTTAGAACCTCACCATCAGAAAGGCTACATTTAACTTGGTCAGAATACACAGCTGCAACCACAGCCTTGGACACAGGGACCATAGCCAGGAAACGTCTAACAGCCCCCTGGTACAGATAGAGGCTGCTTGATTTTAGCTTCCTTACTAAAGTGCAGGATTTGAGTTGGGCTGTGTCATGCCTAGATGGTGACCTTGTGACTTTTTTTTACGATGCCCTCTTATTCTTCAGAATCTCGGCTTTCTTTAAAAAAAAAAGAAAAAGAAAAAAGTCCATCTCTGGCCCTTACAATTGTGGAGATAACACTGAAAATGTGAACGGACGGCAAACCAGTTCAGTGATGTCTGCCTGAGTCTGCAGGCAGCCTGAAATGATAGCTCTGAACTGCCCCATCCATCTCTGTAAGGTGCTAATTCAGCTGCCAAATGGCGATTTAAATGTCAGCATTGCTAGCTATTTCACTGCCGAACAAAGCACGTAAGTGGTACAATACGTGATAAAACACATACTCAGTTCTCAAGGCAGCAGACTGGCTGAAACTAATTGTACAACAGGAGGAAGTCCATCAATGAGTGCTAATCATTGTGCAGAACCGGGGCCTGCGTTAAGAGCGGAACGTTGATTGAAGTGAAGTGTGCGTATGTATGTATCTAACGGTTGAAATAACCCCTAGCATTTTTCATCCCTATCTCAAAGCAGCATCATACCTCAAAGGAAGGCTGTATCATTATCCCCATTTTACAGCTGGGGAGACTGAGGCATAGGGAGGGAAGTGACGTGCCCAAAGTCATCCTGCAGAAGAACAGTGACTAGAGCACGGGTCTCCTGACGGGTCTTATCCACTAGGTCAGACTGCCTCCCCCGGGTCTCATTCTGGATTAACTCATGCAACAAGCCCCGTTGCGGTCAATAGAAATTCTGCCTCCCATTGCAGTTAACAGAATGCTGTCTGTGTGGCATCTGAGTACAGACTGTAGGATTTAGCTGACTGTTGGTAAAACATACTGGGGTGCCAGGAGGTGAAAGGCAATATGAGAATGCACAACAGTAACCCACCCGTGCCTTCACTGAAGTCAATGGCAAGCCCCCTACAGACTCCCGTGGGAACAGGATTGGGCATGTGCTAGTGAAACCACCTTCACACGTTTCCTTAGTCCCACGGTCGTTCCTACGAAGCACCGCAGTTCTGACAGACTCGCCCTGATTTTTGGTGGCCTTGGCCCAGGCCTAAGGGGTGACGCACCTGGAAGGAGCCGAGCACGAGCTCGAAGACGAGCTTTATCTCCATTTTGAAGTTGTCGGGGAAGAAGGCGAACACGATGTAGTGGACGCCAAAGAGCGGGATCAGCAGCAGGGTGGACTTAGCCAGTCTCCTGTCAGAAAGAAAAACATGAGCTGTAAAGGGAAAGGGCACAACAACGACGGGCACGAGAGGGCATGAAATTCGGCTGCTGATGCGCCTACAGCCCTAATGACCCACCTGCGGTGCAGGGAGGGCGGGTCAGTGTGATGCAAGGGAATTCACTTTGTGCTGGAGGTGGAATTTTAAAGCTCTGAAAGCATACGCGGTGGGTAGTAATAAAAGAAGGCGAATTAAACCCAGACCCTCACAGGTATTTAGGCTCCTGAGGTTCACTGAAAAAAATCAGTGGAAGTTAGGAGCCTAAATACCTTTGAGGATCCGGGCCTTAGTGCTTCAGAGATTTGGAGCCACATCTCCGCAGGTGTAAAACAGCAAGCCTCCAGTGATGTCCATTCAGCTACACCGCTTCACCTTAGCTGAAGATCTGGCCCGTGGTGATTGCTACAGTGTTTTTCAGAGATGTAATTTCCCCCCTTATTAACAGCAACTGTTGCGGCACATGTGCTGGCAGCTGAGTCTTGGCAATAAAGCCGTTGTAGTTCCCCTCTGCCCGGGGCTCACCCACAGCTGGTTGCTTCAGGTGCAGAGATGTTCTAACGCGTGACATTTTTATGCCCATCAACTCGAGTGGAGGTATTTCCTCCACTCCTGCCAGAGACCGTTATTCATCTCCACAAGCCAGACGGAGCCCACGACTGCCTTTGCCCGGGATTGCAGAACAGTTGGGGTTCTAGAGGAGAAATCCATTTAGCGGAGAGTGATGATAGCGTATAGAGCGGCTGGAGCGGCCCACGTGTTCCAAAGCAGGCAGATGAGCAGCGTTAGAGCCTAATGGCCCCAAAGAGGATAATCAGAGCTCTAATTAGGAACGGCAGATCATTTCTGACATCTAATTACAGACGGAAATCAACTGCAACTGACTGAAATAAAAGGAAATGCAAAACGTCAATGAGCTTAAGGGGCATTTGACACCATCGATCTCCAAGGACTCCAGTCCCACCTCACCGAGGCCAACGTGGGGAAGGGAAATGCCCTGAAATGGCTCAGGTCTGTCCCCTCCGGCCAAGGCCATTAGGGCGTTATGGGCAGCTGTTCCTCCTTTGCCAAGGCCCTCACATGCACAATCCCATAAGGCACGGTCTTCCTCCCCTCCTCTGGACACCCATCTCTACATCTCCATTGGGTCAAACGCCGCCTCCCAGAAGACTTCCCCAGCTTTCACAGGGCGTGGTCCAAAGCCTATTCAATCGCCAGATTCAATGGCCAGATTCCTAGCTTTTATGGGCTTCTGTCAGACCCCTAATGCCAAGCTGAAGTCAGCACCCGGGTGTAAAGCAGCTGGCTAGAGCTGATCCCAGTCTAGACCGATGCCTGTAGGAAGAGGGAGGCATTCGGAAAGCTTGCCTCTGCTACAGCATCCCCCACCACCAGGGCGGCTGCCCGCAGAGTAAGTCGAGCCACAGCCTGGGTCATTTTGGAGTCTTTGCTGCCATAGGGTGGCCAAATGCAACAGCAGCAAAACATGCCCCCTTTCCTCTGCCACTGACCAGAAGACGGTGCCCCCTGCCTGTGACACACTGTCCTGGTCACCGTGGTCCATGCAATCATGATTTCCAGATCTGGCGACTGCAACTTGTCACAGCTGAAAAAGCGGCAGCTTCAAAAGGCAGCAACTCGTCTGCTGAACAAGGCAGGTGCTGTGAACACATCACCCCGAGGCTCTGCTGTCTGCACTGGTTCCTGGAGGACCGCTGGCAGCTGGCATAAGACAGAGCAATACCGCCTTTGCCCCCTACCTCCCTGTGCCATAAAGCTCAAACGGGTGTAACTCCACGGATGGCAATCGCAGTCGCCATGAATAACACCTTCTACCATCTCCAGGATGACGTGGCCTTGGTTACACACACATTGGTCACCTTCTGGCTGGACTATAGCAATGGGCTATACTTGGGCATGAGGCCATCCGCTTTTGAGAAACTCCAACAGTACAGAACACAGCCGCGCATCTGCTCAGGAAGATGTGCTAACGGCAGCCACCAGACCTGTCCTCTGCTCCCTACGCTGGCTTCCCACAGAATAATGAGTCAAGCTCTAGGTCTCAATCCTTCTCTTCAAGGCACTAAATGGCCTGGGTCCAGGATATCTAAAAGACTGATTAACGCCCTGTCATAACTATAAAGGGAAGGGTAACAGCCCTCCTGTGTACAATATATAAAATCCCTCCTGGCCAGAGACACCAAAATCCTTTTACCTGTAAAGGGTTAAGAAGCTCAGGTAACCTGGCTGACACCTGACCCAAAGGACCAATAAGGGGACAAGATACTTTCAAATCTTGGGGGGGGGGGAAAGGCTTTTGTGTGTGCTCTTTTTTTGGGGTGGGGTTGTTCGCTCTTGGAACTAAGAGGGACCGGACATCAATCCAGGCTCTCCAAATCTTTCTGACCAAGTCTCTCATATTTCAAACTTGTAAGTAACAGCCAGGCAAGGCGTGTTAGGTTTATCTTTGTTTTCTCAACTTGTAAATGTACCTTTTGCTAGAGGGTTTACCGCTGTTTGCTGTAACTTTGAATTTAAGGCTAGAGGGGGTTCCTCTGGGCTCTTTGAATCTGATTACCCTGTAAAGTTATTTTCCATCCTGATTTTACAGAGATGATTTTTTACCTTTCTTTCTTTAATTAAAAGCCTTCTTTTTAAGAACCTGACTGATTTTTCCTTGTTTTAAGATCCAAGGGAATTGGATCTGGACTCACTAGGAATTGATGGGGGAAAGGAGGGGGAATGGTTAATTTCTCCTTGTTTTAAGATCCAAGGGTTTGGATCGGTGTTCACCAGGAAATTGGTGGAGAAGTCTCTCAAGGCTACCCAGGGAAGGGAGTTAGTATTTGGGAGTGGTGGCAGCAAAACCAGATCTAAGCTGGTAATTCAGTTTAGAGGTTCACATGCAGGTCCCCATATCTGTACTCTAAAGTTCAGAGTGCGGAAGGAAACTTGACACGTCCCATGATAAAGACAATGGCTGACTTCTGGCAGAATGGCACTTCCTACCATCAGGGTAAAACATGGCTGTGGGAGACAGAGTTTTCTCAGGGTCTGGTCTCAGCCTGTGGAATGAACTCCCCAAGGAACTAATGACCATCACAAACCCCACTGCCTTCCACTCCAAGTGCAAGGAGCTCTTCTTCCACCCGCCTTGTCTAGCACACACATAGCAGTGTGTACATTAAATCCCCCAGCCCTACCAACACACGACACTGCAGACACAATTCCCTCACCCTTGGGAGAGGAGGAGAAAAAAAATGACCCCCCCACACCAGATGTTAGTTACGTTTCTTAATGCATGAATGGAGGTGGTATAAGAACCTATGTAGAATAGAATGTTGATGGAATTAATTAAGCGCAAAGTTCTTGTTACAGAAAACCTGGGGTTTTATCTTCTGTTTTGCCTGAAATATTGTTGTCCCCATGCTGCTTGATTGTCGGTAATTTCAAAAGGCTTTTTCATGAGGAGTTCCTTCACGTTTTACAATAAATTAAAGCGCCGCTCCATGGCTGTAGCATTAATGAATGAGTCAACAGCGCACTTGGGCTTGGAGACTTGGACTCAGATGGAACTGGCAAGCATCGAAAGATACTGTCAATGTGTCAACAAGTTATTTCTTCAATAAACAGTGTTGGGTTGGGGGGGCAGAGAGGGAGGGTGAGATCTCAGATTCTGTTGGACTAAAACAAATTCTTATCTCAGATTTGGCAGGAAGAATTCACAGGTATAATGAACAACAGATCTCTTGGGTCATCCAGACCATACCTCTGCAGTTGGCAGGAGCCTTCTGGATACTGAGGGCCAAATCCTGCCATCAATTGCACTCATGCAACTCCACTGGTGTCAATCAGGTTGCACCAATGTAACTGAGGGTCACATTTGGTCCCAAGGGCCAAATTCAGCATGGTGTAAACAGGCACAAATCCAGTGACTTGGCTGGGAGCGACATCCACTTATACCAACCCAGACTGGCCAAAAGGACACGGATCGAGCATGGAATTTGAAAGACTGTAATTCAGTGCAAGGATGTTTCAGGTATGAAGCAAAATCATTCTTGCATGCACAACAAATGCAAGCCATGAACTTTTGTACTTTCGATAGGTTCCCAGATACCAAAAAGTGATGGGCAGAGCATAAGTACCTGCACAGAATAGCACAGAAGTGTTGAAACCCAAGAAGAATGCAAGGCCAGATTATTCTTGGATAACCCTTGCAGTTTCACTTTGCAGCATAGAGGGCCATTCTGTGCCCAGCTGCTTTGTGGGTGTCTGAAGTGGGAGTGGGCCGAAGGTCGCATGCAGCAGCCAAGCACGACCATAGTCTTTGCACGCCTGAGTGTAGAGACTGCTCCCTGCTAGCAGAGAGCTGGGCAGGGGCCCTGAGTTTGCTGCACACTTTCAGGGCTGTAGCAGAGGGAGAGATTCCCCTGTGCACCTGGTAGCCCAGGGTGGAATTCTGCCCTGGAGCAGTGGAGGGTTTGATGGATTAGGAATGGGTTGAACAACACAAGGTTTATACTGTTAGATTGCTGGTTCAAATCCAGCCCACAGCAGCAGTGACTGAGGGCTTGTCTACACTACCACGTGGGGTCAATCTAAGGGCTTGTCTACACCCAGCCGCTAGTTCGGCGGCTGGGAATCGAAGTTCTAGGTTCGACTTATCGCGTCTGGTCTGGACGCAATAAGTCGAACCAGGAAGTGCTCGCCGTCGACTGCGGTAGGGGAGCCTGCCTGCCGCGTGTGGACCGCGTCTGAACCGCGGTAAGTTCGAACTAAGGTATGTCGACTTCAGCTACGTTATTCACGTAGCTGAAGTTGCGTACCTTAGTTCGACTTGGGGGGTTAGTGTAGACCAGGCCTAAGATACGCAACTTCAGCTACGTGAATACTTAGATCTACTTACCGCTGTGTCTTCACTGCTGTAAGTCAACAGCTGATGCTCTCTCATCGACCCCGCTTGCGCTTCTCGTT